GGACGCCGTCGGTTAAACCATGGCCCCGACGCCGGCACCCTCCTGCTTTCAAACAGGGGTGGCTCAGGCGACGCCGTCTGTCCCACTTGAAGGCGAGACTCTTCTTGGCGCCCGGCCCGAAGGTGACCCGTCCGCAGAACTGCGCAAAGGTAATAACCATTAAGTCAAAATAAAAAGGAAGAAGGATGAAAACAGAGGAATCAACGAGCTTACGTTGGCGTCCTCGGCCGTGAAGCGTTTTGGGGATGGATCCCCGGACCCCTGCCTGGCTCATCTGGGCGGGACCGTTTCATACCTACCCTGCTTTCCGGGGTAGGGGTCCATCTCGTCGGTAGCGGCCCGGGTCGCTCCCTCTCCATCGTCTCGTCGGGCGCGGCACGGGCCGTCCCCTCCATCGTCTCACGGGTGCGGCACGGGCTGCTCCCCTTCATCGTCGCCTCGGGGATGGCGGCGACAGATTCGCCCTTCCCCATCCACCGGTCCTCGGCCCGACACGCCCGTCTTGAAGAGGCGGACTTCGCCGGCCTCCACTTGACCTCATCGATTCACTTCCCTCCGCGTGAAAGGCGAAGGGCCCCTACTGCAGGTGGGTGGCCACTTGTCGACATCTCCTCATCCTCCAGGGGCGACCCAATCCACGTCGGCGGCTACCTGCGTTGTCGCCGTCGTCATCATCATCATCATCGTCATCCTCCTTGCTTCACGTCCTCTCCCGATCCGTGCCTCTCTGCTTGATCGTTTCGCCTTCTTCATCTCCTCCTTTGCCTCCTTGTCCCGCTCGGCCTTGCATGAGTCGATTCGCCGCCGCCACAACCTTGTCCTTGGCGGTGGGGGCTGGGCTATCCTTGAAGACTAGCCCCCTCGGCTAGCCCCAACATTACTGAAGCAAGTGTTAAAGAGGGAGATTCGGGAGAAAGAAAAGAATCACGGGGAGAAGAGGGCTTACAATTCGAAGAACCCGAGCTCCGGCCGCATTGGAGATGCCGGGCACCGGATACACGATGTCGAGGACCTGCCGCGGAATCGCCGTCGGCTCCGTTGCCTCCTTGATACGTTCGCCACTTCCGAATAAGGAGCGCCTCGTCAACGAAACACAAATCCCCTCGAGCGATATCCGGGCATCATCCGATGCGAGGAAGCTTCCAGCGCCATCGGTGGTGCCACCCTCCTCGCGTGGTAGGCGCCCGATAATTCCCGACCCCTTTACACCCCGACCCTTCGGGGCATGGAGGCGGAGAGAAGGTCGGAGATATGTTTCTTGTCTTTAGTCGGGCGCCCACCCCATGACTCGAAGCATCCACAATAAGGCGTCCGGTGTACTTTGGTGAGGGTGGCACTCACATCATCCTTAACATAAAACCACTGCGAATGCCATCCCTTGTTGGATGTAGCAGGGCGCATGTCACGAAATAACCTGCGACCGGGTATGGCGCGGTGAATCTTGCACACCCCATCCAGCATTCACTTCTTTCCCCCAATCTTCCTCTTTGTGAGACTAATGCTAAAGAAATACCGCCACATATCAAAATGGGGATCGATCCCGGAAACCCTCGCCCAGAAGCAACGAACAGCCATATATCTTTGAATCCCATTGGGAGTGAGATGCTGCAGCTCTACCTCATAGTAATCTAATAGCCCCGAAGAAATCTGTCTTGCGGGTACCCGAATCCCGCTCATGGAAGATGGCAAAGGAGACGACATACCCTTGAGGCGGCCTCGGCTCACCCTCGTCGCCCGGGAGTAACCACTCTGAATGACGGATAGTGGCGGAGAAGGCCACAGCGGACGAGGCCCTCAGGGCCTTGAAGTGATGCTTGATCTGCCCCACAACTCCATTGAAGCGGGGAGGGGAAGAGGCGGTAGCGAGCTTAATGGCGGCCGAAACACAAGCCTTGGCGGTCGGCGGTGGTGGCGTCTGGTATAAGAGAAATTTGGGAAGATTGGCGGCGGATGTTTGAAGCGCAAAGGAAGGGAGTGAAACCACGGGACCACTGAGGCGAACCCAGCGGTTTTATAGGGGCGACGAGATGCGAGAAGAGCAACCGTCCGCCTCGATCTCCGGTCGCCACGCCACGCCCACAGCGTCACGTCGCGGACACAGCTGCATGATCCCTATCTCTCATCCCAAAAATCTCGGCGGACGGTCCGCCTTCCCCAAGCGAATCCGGACTCTCCACCCACCGGGGAAGCACAAGCCACAAAGGCCCGTTTCTTTTCTCTTTGGCCCACCTAGGGCCCAGCAACTCGCCGGCCGGCCCAACTAAGAAGGAATCCACGACCAATCCGCCACCAAGGCGAGAAGCACAGGTGAGG